TTATTATTATTATTATTACTTGTTTTTGAGAAATCCATGCTGGCTCTTAGTAATCAGAGCATTCCTTTGTACATTCACATTGCCAGACTGTTTATCTATTCTAGAAACTTTATCTGTATGAGTGTTAAACTGACTGGTTGCTAATTGCTCAGTTTCTCTTTTTTGCCCCTTTTGAAAATGGGGACAACATTTGCCCTCTTCCAGTCTGCTTGGACCTCTCCTATTTTCCTGGAATTCTCAAAGATTACTGGCAATGGCTCTGAGATTACACCCACAAATTCCTTTAGTACTCTTGGATGCAGTTCATCTGGCCCTGGAAACCTGAATTCATTCAGAGTAGCTAGACATTCTTTTAATACCTCTTTGGCTATTCTGGGCTGCATAGTTTATTTTATTTTCACAATTTAGAACACTATGGGCATCTGCAGACTAGCCTAAAGGGCTGGCCTAGAGGTAGAGTTGGGGCGGGGCAGCCACATGCCGGCCACCCCAACCCCACGGCAACACTGTCCTGATGCCATGTGCCGTTATGCACAGCGCACAGCATCAGGACACTCTCCCGGCACAGCATTTAAACATGCTGCGGCGAAAGGTCGAGGAAGAACCGCAGTGCTGACTCTTAGGGCAGCCTTTTGCCGCCCTTAAAAGGAGCAGCATTTTGCTACTCTTTTCAGGGCGGCAAAAGGGAGGATTGGGGCCGCGGTGTGGGGTTGCCACGGCCCCAATCCGCCACTTCCCAGGGTGGCTCTGTGCTGCCCGCCTGCAGAGGCCCTATTTTTCTTTTGGAAGAAGATAGGGGCAAAGAAAAATCAAACTCTTGTTGTTGTTGTTGTTATTATTTTAGCACCTTTGAGACTAACTGAAAGAAAGAAATTGGCAGCATGAACTTTCATAGACTTCAGTCTACGAAAGCTCATGCTGCCAATTTCTTTCAGTTAGTCTCAAAGGTGCTACAAGATCTCTCTACGTACTGATTCTACAGACTAACACAGCTATATTTTTGAATTCTATTGTTGTTGTTGTTGTTGTTATTGTTATTGTTATTATTATTTCTAGCCTATCTTTGCCCCAGTTTGGGACCCAAAAGCTTACAACAAATTTATAAAGCACGTTGTTATAAAAACCATAAGATACAAAAGTTAAAATGAAATTAAACCTTCGAGAAATTAAAACCAGCTCAAAACATACATTATTAGACACACAAATATGCATGCACATGCACACACACCCCAGCATAATGATTAGCAAGAACTAACAAAGTGTTGGATGGGCCTTATAGAGGCACTAATCAAATGCTTGTCTAAACTAGGTAAAGGTAAAGGTATTCCCCGTTGACAAGGTTGTCAAGTCGTGTCTGACCATAGGGGGTGGTGCTCATCTCCATTACTAAGCCAAACAGCCAGCATTGTCAGAGACTACTCTGTGATCATGAGGCCAGCATGATTACACAGGATGCTGTTTACCTTCCCACTGAAGTGGTACCTATTTATCTACTTGTATTTGCATGCTTTCAAACTGCTAGGTTGGCAGAAGCTGGGACTAGTGACAGGAGCTCACCACATCACAGAGCACTGGGGCCTTGAACTGCCAACCTGCTGATCTTGCAGTCAACAGAGTCAGTGTCTTAACCACTTGAACCACCGCATCCCAGTTGTCTAAACTACCTGTCTGAAAAAAGAAAGCAAGGAAGTTGGCAGTCTAACTTCTTTGGGAAGGGAGTTCTAGAGCCTGGGGCAGCCGCTGAAAAGGCCCTCTCTCATGTCCCCATAAGATGTACCTGTGAGGGTAGTGAGACAGAGGAAAGGGCCTCCCAAGCCAAATCTCAAAGCACAGGCTAGTTTGTAAGGGAGAATAACTTGATCCTGAGTCGTATAGAGCTTTATCAGTCAAAACTAGCACTTTGAATTGTGACTAGAAATGGACCAACAACCAGTTAAGCTGTTGAAACAAGGTATTAAACAGTTCTGCCTTCTCTGTATCCCCTGTTAGCATTTCACTATCTTCTCTATGCAGTGGCCCTACCATTTCTTTGTTTTTCCTCATCCTCCAAATTTAGCCCCAAATGCTCTTTGCTATTAGTTTTAACCTGAGATTATTCTGAGCTTCAGCATTTTTTACTTTACCCTAGCCTGGAAGTATTCATTTTTATTCTTCTTTTGTGGTTTCCACCTTCTTCTGTTTCTTATACGTGTTTCTTTTAAATCTCAGTTCATCTGAAAGTTCTTTGCATACGTTGGTTTCTGTAGACACCTCCCACTTTTCTTCTTCACTGGAATTGTTTGCAACTGTGCCTTCACTATCTGAATTTTAAGAATTCCTGTGTACCATAAACTCCCTTCTCTCTGAGCATTTCTCACCATAGGATCTCACCCAGAATTTTTGTGAACTTATTGAAATTAGGTTTCCTGAGTTGAGAGCATGTTGACCTTGGAGATTATCACATGGAGGATAAGGATGGGAGCTTATCCAGTCATTATCGTGTCAATGAAGTAGAAGTAGAATTGTCCCATCAGTTTTCATTAACGGAAACTTCCTTTAATGAAAAATGACAGGACAATTCCATTTAATTGACAGGATAATGACTGGATAAGCGTGATGTATGTGATAATCTTTTGGACGATTGTGTGATAAGTCCATTTCATTGATGAGATAATGACAGGATAAGTGCAATGTCGTATGACAATCTTCGGATGATTGTGCGATAAGGAAAGGAACGATCTGCTTCGCTCCTGTCCTTTTCCATGTGTGAATAGAATAGAATAGAAATTTATTATGGCACATAGCCAGCATAGTAAAAATAAATAAATAAAGAAAATAAATACATTTACAGAAATTCCCAAAATTACAAAAACACATCACAGG